TCATATCATAAAGCAATTAGAACTTTAGATTATCTTCTAAAGCCTATTAAAATATACATCCAAAACTATTACTTTATAGTGTATGTTCAAAGTTTCTTCTCGAGTCACTTTATAATATTTATAAAAAAAAGAATTAAGCAAAAAAGAAGTCTATTTGCAAGTAAGTGACTTAACATTTCGAAATGATAAATATTATTCTCATTTTTATCCGCCATTACAAGGTCTGTACATTTTTGTGTGTGTGTACGGATCGGTTTGGGGGGGGGAGGGGGGGGGGGGGGGGGGGGGGACTCATGAAGAAGAATCATTTTGGATTACTATGCCTACATTCATTAATAGACTTAATTTTGATATTTATAAAGAGGTTAAAAGTTATTCTCCTACAACTCAAGCTTACAGAGAGGTGATAAGAATTAAAAGAAAATATTAATCCCATATTAAAAATACAATGTCTTTTTCTATTGTTTCAGGTTTCACCTTCTACATATAGTCCATGGACTACTAGGGAAATTTCTGATGAAGTAGCTTGAGCAAATGTACAATTTAAAATCATTTCTCCAACCATAACTGATTCAATTTAGAACAATCTATTAGATCACCACGTAATTGAAGCTGACCTAGTTAAAATTCTTAAAATAATGAATCTATTACTGATGATGAAGACCTAGGTGTGGAAGAACATCAATGCATGCAAGATGATAATATTTTTTATTGTACATATAAAATGGCAGGTGCGATAAAAGATGAAATAATATTTTTTATTGTACATATAAAATTGCATGTGCAATAAAAGATGAAAATGAACTGAAAACTAAAACTGGAATCAAACCAAAAATAACAAAAGGAACCTAAAGTTGAAATTAAATCTCAATAGGAAATTAAACATATTTTAGAGCTTAATTTGCAATAGAATTTGGCATCTAAAAGACAATCAAATCTAAATTTGAGGAGCCCTTGATAAAACTTTAACAAGAGTTTAAAGTAGAGCATGAAGAATCTTCTGATTTTACTCTTACTAAATTATCTATTAAGTCTATTACCATGCATGCCTACTGGTTTTGTTATTGAATCACGATTATCTGAATGTCCATCCAGAATGATATGGAATTTATTTAACATCAGAAGAGCAATGGAAATTTTACTTGAAAGGATTTTCAAAAAAGAACTTGTAATGTGCTTCGAGAACAATAACGAATAGAACAAAAAATAAATGCCTGAATCTAATTATTACACCATTTAGTATAATATTTTTCAAGGAAATAGTTTGCCTTGATGACTAACCTACCCTTGCTACGATGAAATCTGTCGTCATATTTATTACATATGGTATAAAACCCTTTGAAATTTATTGAGTGATCATCATAAATGTTCATCATCTTTCCTGCTATATTAAGTGACTCCACAACAATTCATCAGACATCTTATAGTCTTTGCCCACATATTCATACTTGCTTCATATTTTGGTTACATTGCATCATTTATCAATCACCATATAAATTATGCGGTGCAATAAAGAAACAATTAACCTTGTATGATAATAGTTATAAATGTGCGAGTGATTTAAAGAATTTAATAAACTGATTATATTTAGTCTCTGTTCATCTTAAACATTTCTCACATAAAATATTATATTCCCAAGATTCCGAGTCATACAAACTTATTAGAACACTTGGGTCAATGCATATGTTATCATTTTGCTTTTATATAAGCTGTACTTTTCATGTTAAAAGTATATTATCTTATAGAAGCACATTCAAGCTTCCTATGTTTCCTACAAATGTAGCTTCTAACTGAGTTATTGCATCCTAAAAACATCAGCTTGTTACTGTGCTACAATCACTTTTATCTGATTTAAAATTGTATATATAATTATGAATGAAATCACACTAAGCCCTTTTGTCCAACAAAAATATATTATTCCATGGTATGATCATCCACCATTAGATGATGCATGACTAACATATGAAAAACTTCAATGAGCTATTGGATGAGTATATCATCGTCAATATTCTCAAGAGGACAATTCTGTCCACCCGATGAATTGATGGAAATCATCCATCAGCTTCAACATCATCATCATGGTGATATCACCACCGCACACAAAACTAAGCTTCCAAAAGTATGATGCTTCTTTCTAAGTTTGATTGAATCCGGTGGATAGGGGTGATATTGGTTATGTACAAGAAAGATAGCCTAAACTCAAATATCAATAACAACAACATCAAGCTTTTATCCCACTATGTGGGGTCGGCTACATAAATCATTTTTCTCCATTATGCACTGTTAAAAGTTAAATTCTCATTTAAATCTAATAAAGAAAGACCCTTTCTAATATTTTCTAACCAAGTCTTTCTAGGTCTGCCTCTACCTTTCTTAATATAAGTCAAATCTAATACATCACTTTCATAACAAGGTGATTGGAAGGTCGCCATATATGTGACCAAACCATCTAAGGAGACTAACTCTAAGCTTATCTTCCACTGGAGCTACTCCAACCTTTTCACATATATGCTCATTTCGTATCTTATCTCTTAAGAGTAAAGTCACTCATCCATCTCAACATCCTCATCTTTGCAACACTTAATATTATACTTCTCTTTTAATGACCAACATTTTGCACCATAAAGCATTGTAGGTCTAACCACCATCTTATATAATTATTCCTTAAGTTTGAGGGGGACTTTTCTATCACACAACAAGCTCGATGCGTTCCTCCACTTTAACCATCAAACTTGAATTCTACTAACAATATCCCCATCTATTTCACTATCAATCTGAACAATAGACCAAAGATATCTAAACATGTAATCTTATTAATGACTTGATCACCCAAAGTCACAATCTCCCCACACGAACTATTATTACTAAAATTACACTCCATATATTCATTCGAATGAAATATTTTAGACTCTAAGGTTAACCGACATAATTCTAGTTTATCTTCAACACCATCTCTAGTCTTATCAACAAGAAGAATAACATCAGCAGGGTACAACCTCTTGCAAAGGACTAGTGAGAACATCCATGACTAAAGCAAAAATATATGGGCTTAAAGTTGAACCATGATGTAATTCAACTAAAATAGAAAAATACTTGGTCAAACTACCTTGTTGAACACAAGTAACAACTCCTACGTATATATCCTTAATGACTTGAATATAAGCATTAATAACCCCTTTCTTTTCTAGAACTCTCCAGAGCACATCTCTTGGAACTTTATCATATGCTTTCTCTAAATCAATAAATATCGTATGTAGATCCTCCTTATTCTCTCTATACTTCTCCATGAAACCTCTCAATAAATGTATAGCTTCCATAGTTGACCTACCCAGCATGAATATGATAGGAAGCACTTGTAGGTCTCAAGTAATTCCTATAAGTCTTTGGAAAACAATGAGAATTCTCCATAAAAATCCACACAAAACTAGGAAAAATAGTAGATAATTTGTATTATTTGATGCAATGTAAACAAAAAATACCAAGATACAATTAATCCTCTATTCGAGAGGAGGATCTATCTCTCCCAATTCTTTAGACGCAGCTAGAGCCCAAACTCTAAGAGAGATCTCAAATTTCAGCCAAATTCAAGATGCCCTAATCCTAGGAAAACAAACTATTTAATGCATACAATCCAAAAAGAAATCTCTAAACAATACCTACATTCAAATTTCCCTCTTACACTTCTCCTAAAATCTTCCTAATTTGATCTTTTGAACTATGCGGTTTGATTGGAATATGTAGGAGGCGGAAATTCTCCATAAGTGATGAGATGCTTATCTCTTTTCAATCTGAGTTTTATTATATCCATTTTATTTTCTAGCTTAAACTCAAACAAATATTATAGTTTTTTTTATCGAACTAATTCGAGTAAAATATATTATCTAAAATATTTTTTAATCATTAATCAAGTTTATTTTTTATATAATAGTATTTAAATCATATTTAAAAAGATTCATTAACAACTTTAAGTTATCTAAAAAGAATTAAAAAGAATAGGAATAGAAATAATGATTTATTCAACATGATAGAATGCACTTGATGAACTTCATGTTTGCAGAGAAACAAAAAATTTCAAGTGTAATCAGACAATGCTTTAATAGTTGATAAGCTTCTACCAATTCAGAAGCTTGGTTATTTCAGTAAGGAGAAATAATCCATGGCTTGCATGAACGATAATCTAAGATTTGATTTTACATCACAAAGTTGATATTGGAAATTGCAAGTAGTGTGGATATTCCATTAGTTTTTAATGCTCGATGCTGGTGCATCTCAAAGTTCATCTAGCTCAACAATAAATCTCAAGAATCTTTGTATCACAAAATAAAATATTTTGGCTTTCAATAAACTTCCTACATCAAAAACACCATCAACCGGGGTATACTCAAAAAACAAAGTATAAAAGAGCGCTAAATAGAATCAAAATTTCTCACCATGCCAATATGTTCCTAACTTCCTATTTAGCACAACAACTAATAAGTCTTAATTAAAAGGAAATTCCAAGAAGTCAACAACCAAGTCAAAATCATTCTTTGAAGCCAATGAGTAGTAAATCAATAGCCTTTCAAATATATGACAAACCTAAAATTTCTAAAACAAAATAAAATAAAAATCAATCTTGGAAACACTAAGCCGATTCAGAACATACAAAAGTGGTAGGAGGACCAGGCCTTCCTTCTGTTGATGGATAGTGCAAAATATTAAACCCGTCACAGGCAACAAGTTTTCCTTTGTAATTTATTAAATCAGATCCCTATAATTTCTTATGAATCTCAACGAACAAAGTCGACATGGCCAGCCTTAGAGCACCCAGAAACAGTAAATAACCGAAGCCGAAAAGAGGAAGGATAAACAATTGGGACAAATGCCACCGACAATTAGCAAATGATGAGAAAGAAGACCTAGAGATCAAAACCGGCAATTCGAATCGAAATCTTAAAAAAAAAAAAAAAATCAATTGGGGAGAAATTTTAACGCGTCAGGGGTGGAAAGAAGCTCCATACCTTTCTCAACGTACGCCATGCTCGAGCTTGACTTCCAAATTCTCGAAGGAGGAAAAATAGGTGGCCGAGGCTGTTTCCTTGGTTCTTAAGGCAAGCGTAATTAGAGCATAAGCCGGGCATAAAATAGTTTATTTTGTTTAAGGCCTTGTAGCTTCTCATTAGATATTATTTGATTAGATATAAATCGGTTGCAATAATTTTTTTTATATTTATTATGATAATTTTAAATTTATCAAAAATAAATATTTTAAATTATTATAAATCTCCTGTAAATTATTTGATTTAGTTCCAATTAAATATAAAAAAATTAAAACTCTTATACTTACTTAATTTTATGCTCTTAATATTTGCAATTTTTATGCCGTCCACGATTCACATTATCAAGCATTAATCTCGATGCATATTGAAATCAGAAAATTTTGAAATGAAAGTTGGGACTATTCATAATCTATTTCAACAAGTGTATAGTCAAAATTGAATGGTTCAACAAATCGAATCAATCAACATCAAAAGTGGCTGATATAAGTCCACATGAAGTTCAAAGTTTTCCTTATCAAGGGCAAATTATTGCATCCGGTCACCTGACAGTTCAGAGCTCTCTCTGTCTACAGTAAAAGCACAGGTACTGTAGCATACTTGCGCTTCACATGCGCTTTACTGTAAACAGAGAACGAATCTCTCTGTCAGGTGACCGGATGCAATAATTTGCCCTTATTAAGAGTGTTAATCTAAGGTATGAGTCCAATTAGGCCCTGAATCAGGCTAAGAAATTGAGTACTCAATAAGATGAGGAGTATTTGAGTGCTCCCTTGGTGTCATGGATTATATTGGGAAGAGGTTGATCCCTTATTGACTTATTGGAGTCTTAACAAGATAGGCATCGAGGTGTAAGATTATTATATTATGAATCAATAAGCTCTGTCCATAGCCTTTAAAGAGAATAAACATGAAGATTTTTATTAAATATGTTTAATGAATATATAATTTAATGTTCATTAAAAAAATCATGATAGAAATTTTATAATTAATGCAAAATAATTTATGAAACACAAAAAATAGGTTCGTCTTTCAAGGTAAAAAAATATATTTATAAAATACATTAAAATATCATCTTTTGTCATGATATTGATTATAATATCATTAAAAATAAGAAAAAGTAACTTTTAATCACAAGATATGATTCATTGTCATCATAAAAATAAAGATTTATTGACAATAAAGCAATATTGGTTAATTCAAAAGGTATCACTAATTATTCATATAATTCATCTTTAGTCTTATATTCAATCTATCTATTAAACCCTAATAAGTTATCTTTAAACTCACCCAATTCTTGAGTAACATCATCAAGCAAAGTCAAAAGTTTAGGTATCACATTATTTTCACATCTTCTAAGGCAAAAATCACATAATGCTACCTAGAAGTTTCCCTCATATTCAAATTTATTCAAAATATGTCAAATAAGATCATCACTCTATCACATAATGCAAGAGGAAGACTTCTAGTGGCCCAATACTATATTTTGACTCTAAATAATGTGGGGAGTCACATAGAGGCTAATATATAGTTCATTTAAGATGCAAGGAATGATCAAGAGTGAGAATCACTTTAATTGCTCCATATGCAACCCATCAATTTAAGCTTTGTTTGGGATGACTTTCTTACTGCTTCTTAAAACAACTTTTTAATAAAAAAATTAATTTTTTTTACTAAAAAATTGCTTTAAGAAGCAGTAAAAAAGCTGTCCCAAACAAAGCCTTCGCTGCAATCTCTGAGTATGGTTGAAATTATCAAAATTAAAGAATGCTTGCACCGTTTGCACTATATATACATACAGCATAGTCCAGCTTTGAGAAACTATCATTAAGAAAAAGAAAAATACAATGGGAGCATAAACCAATGTAGTTTAACTTACCGGTCATTTTGCAGTTTGTTCGACTTCAAATAGCTAACGCAGTGTTAGCTATAGATTTATAACGACAAAGATTTTGTTGTTGTAGCTGTGTCCCCATATGCCAATCGCACAAACCAACGGTCAATTAAATGAGAATTTAATATCATTTGCTTATATGATTGCCAAAGCGAACCAGAAAACAAAAGACAATAATGTTGGAGAAATTGGAGAAAATAACAAAAATCTTCTTAATAAACTTTTATAGACAGGAGAACTGTAAGATGCAGTTTTTTTTTTCTCACTTATGCATACACGTACAACAAAAGTTTTAAATTAAAAAAAAATAAAAAATAAAAAACCATAGCGCACAAATGACACCTTTTCACTAATACAACCGTTTCAGTTTTAATAACACTAATAATAACATAATTTTGCATTAATTTATAACATGACCGCTTAATGCAAAATTTCTACACCAAGATTTGATCGAAACCTCTCAAATTTTTGAAAATTAAGAGCTTTTGTCAATCCATCAGTAACTTGATCTTCAGTAGAACAATACTTGATTGCAATAGTTCATTTTGCCACACTTTCTCTTACAAAATGATGTCGGAGTTCTATATGCTTCGATCTACCATGAAACACCAGTTTCTTCTTCATAGATATTGTGGATTTATTATCACAAAATATGTCAATCGCCTTTAATTGAGGTTCTTGAAAATATTCTAATATTCTTCTCATCCAAATTGCTTGACATGTTGCTGATGAAGCTGCAATACATTCAACTTCTAAAAATGACAATGCAGTATTTCCTTGCTTCTTTGTGCTCCAAGATATTGCTCCAAACCAAAGATTGAATATAAATTCACTTGTGCTATTCCTATCTTCTTTGGAATATGTCCAAATCACTATTAGTAAAACCAACCAATTAAAGTTAAAAACTGATTTATGCCAAATCTCATAATTGGTTTTCTCCCGAATATAACGAAGAATGCATTTGGCTGCTCCAAGATGATGTATGTAAGGATTGTGCATGAACCTTGAAATAAGATTGACTGAATACATAATATCAACCTTGGTATGTGTCAAATACATAAGACCATCCACAATTCCTCTAAAATACTTTCTCATTGGCTTTAGTTGTACCATCATTCTGAACTAATTTTTCATTTGTATTCATGGGTGTTGAAAAAGTCTTGCAAATCAACATATTATACTTAGTAACTCCAATGCATATATATTTTTAGATATAAAAATTCTATCATCCACTTGAATAATTTGTAAGCCTAGAAAATAATACAGCAACTTCAACTCAATTATATTAAATTCTTTTATCAAATCAACATTGAACCTTTCAATCAACATATTAAATGCCCCAGAATAGATAATATCATCAACATAAGCACAAACAATAAGCAAATCACCATTTTTAGCCAACACATACAAAGTAGGCTCACTTTCACTTCTATGAAATCTTTTTTTTTTTTAAGTATGAATCAAGTCTCCAATATCACACTCTTAATGCTTGTTTAAGCCCATAAAGTGCCTTCTTTAGTTCATAAAATTTCTCATATTTGCCTTTAATAACGAATACTTGTGGTTGATTCATTTATATATATTCTTCCAAATTACCATTAAAAAATGTAGATTTAACATAAAGCTGAAAAACATTCCACTTCATTTGTGTAGCTAATGCAAGTAATAGTCTACAATTTCAAATCTAGTAATAGGAGAAAAAGTTTCATAAAAATCAATACCATATTTTTGTGCATAACCTTTGACAACAAATCTTGCTTTGATTTTTTTATGCTACCATCTGAATTGTACTTCAGTTTGTAAATCCACTTAACACCAATTGGATCATTTATTTGTGGCATATCAACAAGCTCCCAAATATCATTCTTCTCAATACTTTGAATCTCATCTTTGATAGCATTTTCCCATTCTTTTTTTCCACAAGCTTCTTCATAATATAATGGTTCTATAACCATAAGAGCAAATGTACAATCATACAACTCATGCAAAGATCTCATCTTTATATGATGCCTCTCTTCAGATGTGCTTGAATCTACTGATCTTGGACTTGAAAGAGATGAATTAAATGACAAACTATCACCAACTTCTTAATTGTTAGTGATATCAATTTGATGAGTCTCCTCAAATTCAACTGTTGCATTTCCTTTATCATGAATTATAGATTCACTCCAATCCCACATATCATCTTCATAAAAAATACCATATCTACTGATAATGATCTTCTCAGACTGTGGATCAAACAATATGTATGCCTTTGACTGAATGTTGTAACCAATGAATATCAACATTCTAGATTATCTATCCAACTTGATTCTATGGTGACCATCCTCCAATGCATATGCAATACTTCCAAATGCTTTCAAATGACTGACAACGGGCTTTCTACCATTCAAAGCTTCACAAGGTGTACTATTTTAAACATCTTTTGTTGGAGAAATATTCAAAATATAAATAGCAGTTTCAACAACTTCATTTGATAAATGCTTCATCTACAATATACTTCTTGTCATCTCTACAACAATTCTATTCTTTTTTTTCCACAACCCTATTTTGTTGTGATGTATTAGGAGCAGTTAATTGTCTGAAAATTTCATATTTATTACAAAAATTGCCAAACTCATTTGATGTAAATTCTTCTCCTCTATATATACATAAAATTTTAATATTCTTGCCAATTTGATTCTCCACCAATGTTTTAAAATGCATAAAATTTTTAAAGGCTTCTGATTTATACTTTAAAAAATACACCCAATTCATTCTACTGTAATCATCAACAAATTGAAGAAAATATTTACACCCTCCATGAGACGGTGTATTCATTGGACCACATAAATCTGCATGAATTAACTCCAAACATCTTCTTGCTTTCTATAATTTTTCATATGAAAAAGGCTTTATAGTTTTATTTCCTATAACACAAGCTTCACAAATTCCACTATAGTCACATTGGGAAAATCATAAACTATCTTCTTTTGATACAATAATTTTAAACTTCACATATACAAATGAACATATCTAAAATGCTATAATAATTCTGAATCATATATCTTCTTAACTATCAATACATTTTCTTGAATTGTTGAAATATTAAGTGAAAAAATTTTATTTGGTGCTATCTGAATTCTTGCAATCTATTGCTTACTTTTTATGTCTTCAATTTTACAGGCTTTTTCATCAAATTCAACTTTATATTCACTATCAATTAATTATCCAATCCTTAGCAAAGTATGTGCAAGTTTTGAAACATACAAAACATCATGTAATAGCTTTATCTTGCTAACATTTGTCGCAACAGCAACGCTCCTATTGCCTTCAACTTGAACAGCATTATTATCACCAGACTTGACTTCTGATTTCTTTGACATATCTATCTCTTTGAACAGAGACTTTATGCCAGTCATGTGATTAGAATAACCACTATCACGAAATCAAATTTCTAAATTATTATAATCACCTAGAAAATGTGTCATAAATATATTTTTTGATCTATTGTCTTCTCTGCATCAGAAGTTAGATTTGGTGATAATAATGTTGTTCAAGTTGAAGGCAATGGGAGTATTGCTGTTGAGATAAATACTGATAATGTAAATATATTATTGCACATGATTTGCTAAGCATTGATCAATTAATTGATAATGAATATAAATTTAAATTAGATGAAAAAATTTATAAAATTAAAGACAAATAGTACGCAACATATTTCAAGAATTTAAATGACACCAATAAAATTTTTCATTTAACATTTCAATAGTTCAAGAAAAAATTTTGATAGTTAAGAAGATATCTGATTCAGAATATGATCATTTGTATATAGGAGGTTTAAAATTATTGTATCAAAAGAAGGTTTATGGTTTGCCTAAAGTTGACTATAGTGAAATTTGTGAAGCTTGTGTTATGATAAAGCAAGCTAGAAAGCTTTTTTCATATGAAAAATCATGGAGAGCAAGAAGATGTTTAAAGTTAATTTATGCAAATTTATGTGACCCAATGAATACATTGTCTCATGGAGGGTGTACTTGCATAAGAGCAAGGAATGACTGACACCATAAAAAGGACACCAACCATCAAGCAGACCCACAAATTGAAGCCAACATTGATTGGACCAAAATCAACACCCCAGCCCACCATCAAGCTCTACTATTGTGATCCCTGCCTTCATTTATAAGCTATATTATTATAATATATTTTAAATTTATTTTTTATATATATATTTTTAAGAGAATAAGCTCATAAGCTGAAAGGTCAAGTCGGGCTTGAATTCAAGGAGCCATTTATCCAATTGAATCCGAGCCGACTCATGAGTTAGCTTGACTCAATTACACCCCTAATTCACATTGCTCATGACATAATCATCATCTATTATTGAATGCAGGCCCATGCGTTAGTTATCTACCATATACCACAATAAACATGACAACAACATTCTCACCTTTTAATTGGATAAAGCTCAATGGTTGGTTGCCATAGCAATGGAAATTTATCAAAAATAAGATGATAAATAAAAAAACCAATATAATATGACAACATATTCTAACTAGAAAATATTGTTCCGAAAGCTGAGAACAGTAAGTGACAATTGCAAACTCTCCTCAAAGTTTATAAAAATAAAGTTCAAGTAATGGAACCTCCTAAAACAAGATTTCAAAAAAGTCCCACTAAGCTATTAGTTGCAAACCTTTTGCTAAACATGAGGGGGGCAAAAAAAAAACAATTATATTCATTTAAGCCCTAGGTTTACTGGTTCAGCGCTTTTTTTCTTGCTTGCGACTTCGCCTATCGCGACATTCCACAAGCCATACCTTTCAATATTGAACGAGCAAGAACCTAATTAGAGAAAGAAGATTAGAGACAACTTCATTTGACTAATTTAGCTGTGAAAATGTTAGAAAGAAATCTGAGGGCAAAGCTACAACTTCATCTGCTCAAGTTCAAAAATTCGTGTGGATTATGAAGATGTATGGATGTTAAGTTATTCAGGCTAGAAGAGGCAGAACACACAAATTTGCAAACCGTGGTACAAGTCCATATTTCCCCAAATTGTTACCCAAGACAAACTAACTGAAATATCTACATATTAATTACTGTGCTAAAAACTAGACAACTCATAGAATGTTGTGCCTTCTATCACAACAACAGCCTAGGAGTAACCCATATAAAAGTGAATGTCCACCATTTCCTCATTATTAAACTCCATTTCTAAATTGGAGAAAACTACTACCGAGTGAAGATTTACTTTACGCACATGCGAAATCTTGACAATCACATCAATAGATTGCAAGATGATATACGTGCAAAAAAATTGAAAGGTAGACTGCATGCCATGGAAAAGTTTGGAACAAGAAAATAAATTTTGCACCCACATTGACAAAATGAACTTCAGTAATTCCTGTAGGGGAATATTTTGCTTAGCATTTAACTAGAATTCTTTTTCAATAATAAACAACATAAATGAACACAATTAGCAATATATAAACAAGCAAACCTTCTACACATACAAAATGGGTTAAATTTCAAAATAGTCCTCTGGCTATTCGTATATGGCAATTTTAATCCCATGATATAATTTTACTCCAATTTAGCCTCTCAACTATACAAAATTAATCCAAAATGGTCTATTTGGGACTAAATTGGAATCAATTTTGTAATACCAAGGATAAAATTCAGATTAATTTTATATCACAATTATAACATGAGGAACTATTTTAGATCAATTTTGTATAGCCAATGAACTAAATTGGGACAATGTGATACTCTGAGACTAAATTGACCATTCAAAAATAGTCTAGGGACTATTTTGAAATTTCTTTGCATAAAAAATAAACCTAGTTGGTTTGACTTCCAAAACAATCCCACCTTATGTAGTCATGCTTAATACTCCTCTTCAAACACCTCCAAGAAATAGGTGAATCACATCCTCCACTCTGCATTGGCCAATGGCATCACATTCATAATATATAAACAATATTGTGATAGGAAGTGCTTGCATAAATTTAGGTAAAGCCTTGGCTAAAAAGCTAATTTCAACAATTTTAGAAAACCAACTACAAGAAAATCAAGAATAGAACACACAAGAGCATTTTTTTTATTGAAAGTTTTATTAATGAAAGATAAGATACAAGTGAATCTTCAATTGGAGAGGAAGATCCAGCTCTCCCAAATCTTTACCCGCCGGTTAGAGCCCAAAAACCCTAAGAACAATAGAAATTCAGCAAACAACACATAACCATAACCCTAGAAAAACCACCTGATTAAAGCAAACAATAAACAACAAATATCCAAATAGCCCTCCCTCAATTCCTTCCCAAATCTGACATATTTCCTTATTTATTTCCCTCCCAAAACCCCCAAATCTACCATATTCAAATAGGAAATATTTCCTAATTAATCCCCTCCAAATAAAAAATAAACCTAGTTGTTTTTGTAAGGCACTTGAAGTTGTCTCCAGGGCGAACTCCATTGCCCTTCTCCATCAATACTTCCCTCTAAAACGACAATGTCTGGGTTCTTAGTGCCAGGGTCGTAGATGTACTACTGTAAGCCCCTCCCATAATGTTGCTCTTGCTGGCCTTCTCCCTCTGATATTTTTCCTCCACCCTCTGAGCAAGCACCATTATCTCTCTCAGCCCTTTAAGTTTACAAACCCTGAGCTCTACTCGTATGTCCTCCCTAAGCCGCTTCATGAAATCCATTTCCAATCGTTCCTCAAGAATTCCTCTCAGTCTTCCCAACAGCAGCTCAAATTTCTTTCAATACTCCATGACTATCCCCTCTTGAGTTAGGACATAGAATTGTTCGTGGAGGTCTCCTTCCTAAATAGCTCAGAAAGACTCCAACAAACACTCCTTAAATTCCCACAATAAATAGATCGGATATCGGGACTCCCTTCACTAAAATCAAGCTAGGGCTTTTCCCACCAAACATAGCCCTACATCCATGAGTTTTCCCCCTTCTGCCAGGCCATTGATCGCAAAGTAACGCTCTACACGATACACCCAACCCTGAGCATCTTGCCCTTAAAACACTGGCATCTTCAAATTTCTTAATCTTACATCTATAACCCAATGACTTATCCCTCCATTAGTTCCTCCTATATAATGATGGTGTGAATTTCTCCCTTCCTCCCTTGACTGATTTGGATCCCATGACTCCGCCCAACCATGACCTTCTCCATTCCACCTCTCCCCATGCCTGGGTAGTCTCCCAAAGGGCACGACCTACCTCCTTGTTGTTCCTCCTTAAAAATTACCTCGATCCGTCCACCCACAGAGCCCCCTTGAGGCGGTCGTTGATGGAAAACACTATCCACTTCATCATTTTCCTCCGGAATCTCCTTCACTTTTGGTTCAACCCTCAAAACCGTTGGTGAGGCTTTTGACTGCATTTTCATCTACTTCTTCATCATGTCTTCCATATTTTTGAAGCAGCTCTCTATGGATAAGAGCCTCCCTTCCATGCTGAAATACCTTTCCTCCACTCCAGCCTTGAGATTTTTCATCTTACCTTCCAAAACCTCTATCTTCTTTAGTGTCATTCACGGATTTAGGTTCCAAACCGTGCAAAACAATACAAATTGGCGATCTAGTCTTCATGTGGCGAAAATCAACAAGGTGAGAAGAAAAATGTAGCAAAAATCGACGATGGTGACTTAAATTTCAACCCAAGACACTGTTCTAATACCAATTTTATAGGAAGTGCTAGCAGAAATTCAAGAAAAGCCTTGGATGAAATTTGATTTCAACAATTTCAGAAAACAACAACAACAACAACATCAAGCCTTTATCCCACTACGTGGGGTCGGCTCAGAAAACCAACTACAAGAAAACCAAAAATAGAACAAACAAGAACACTTTTTTTTATTGAAAGTTTTATGAAAGAAAGACAAGATACAAGTGGATCTTCAATTGGAGAGGAAGATCCGGCTCTCCGAAATCTCTAGCCACCGGCTAAAACCTAAACATTCCAAGAACAATCTAAATTCAGCAAACACATACCTTTAACCCTAGAAAAATCATCTACTTAAAGCAAACAATAAACAAAAAATACCAAAACAACCTTTCCTCAATTCCCTCCCAAATCTGTCATATTTCCTTAATTATTTTCCTCCCAAATCAGCATTCAAATTAGCCCCCAAATATGTCCTCTTCAATTAGGAAATATTTCATAATTAATCCCCTCCAAATCAAACCCCAAATCTGCCCTCTTCAATTAAAAAACTATTTCATAATTAATCCCCTTCAAATCAAGCCATCTCTCCTGTGGCTCCCGCTCCCGCCGTATCAATAGAAATATTTCAGAGTTAATCCCTTTCAAATCAGCCCCCCTCTCATGCGGCTCCCGCTCCTGCCGTATTATATTTACTAGAGAGATCAATTGAATCTACATCCATATTCAATATACTAGTTCCTCACAACCAATTTATCTCATAACAAATTCCAATTTGTTCGGTTTGTTTGTTCAAATCTCACTTGACTTTGTGAGAACTTGATGCAATTATGTAAGACTCCAACATCTTCCAAGGAAATCCAAGTTCATAGATTACAGCATCACTAATGAGTCATTTGACTTGCTGAAAAAAGAATGCATAATAAACTAGAATACATTAAAAAAGAGTATGATATATTTGAAATGTTTAGAGCTATTTGAATGAATTTAAAATAAATGTACGTGATTACCTCTTTTATTTGATTTGAAATAAAATGAAAGCAGTGCAAAGCTTAATGATGGTGTTGGTCGCAAAGGTAGAGGTGGCAGACTGCTAGCGACTGGCAACAAAGGCTGAGGACAACCAACGACGACAGCGGGCAGTCCACATGGTGGTGGGTGGAGGGTAAGCTACGACGAGCAACAATCAACATCAAGAGTGGAATTAGCTTGCGATGTATTTTGGAATTAAGCAAAATACAAAAGAGTTTTGAATTAATAAAAAATGAAAGACCGTGAATTTGAAATTCACCAAAATTTTACTCTTAATTCATTTTTCATCAAATCAAACACCAAAATTTTTAAAATCCCTATATTTCGAAAACTTTACATTCAAATTTCATCAAAACATAACACTTCTTATCTCTGCTAAAGTAGTAAAATCTCCATGACATTGTGCATTAGATGATAAGACGGAAACATCACCTTCATTTATCTACCCTGCAAGAACAACATGAGAATATCACCACCAATTGGAGTGGTGGTTGGAAGTATCAAAAGGAAATCATGGAGGAATTAGAGTCTGATGAGCATGGCAAGGAAGGAATGGGATTAAAAAATTGTCACTCAATATTGGTGTAGATTAATTATTTGGCATCACATCATTTAGAAACCCTGTAGAGTCAGATGAAACCACCATTGGGCTTAAAAAAAAATTAGCATGATGTTCAAGAGATCCAATAATGAGTTTTGGGGAGTTTTATTCCTTAAAGATGTCGTGATAGTGCACCAGACGAAGAACAAAAGAAATAAAGCAGCATAAGAAATCCATTGGGAAACTACTCATTTCAAATGCAAAATCTGCGAGGCCCAGATGTAATTTACCCAAAAAATATTATAAATAGTAGGAGCTCAAGTATTTTCTAACAATAAAGCATGTGGAATGTTTACCAAAAACACTAGAGCATTTAACTCAATTGCATTTAGTGCAGCACATATACTCGGACCATAAAAGAAATTTACAAACATAAAACTCAACTAAGCGACATCCTAACAAAAACTTAAAGCCAAGAAAAATTTGAATTATTAGCTTTATTAGTTGAGAAAGCACCTAATTAGAGAAACAAGTTAATAGACAACTATGTTTAAGCAGATTTGTTCAGAATAACATAAAAAGGAGAAGAAATATATGCTACATTTCTAAAATTTGTGACTTGCGATTGAGTAGAAGAAAGCAAAGTGGACTGAACTAATACAACTGATCTGGTCCAACTAAAACTCATGCAGAATTACTTTAAGATGAAATTATATTATAATCGAAGTCAATGTGTAGAAGCAAAAATGTTCACCACTTCATCATATTTTAACTCCATTTGTATAAGTTGAAGAAAAATCAAGAGTTGAAGATTTTTTGTATGCACATGCGAAATCTTGTCAATCATTCTAATAGACTTCAAGATGATATATGTGCAGAGAGATGAAAAGAATGAATACATAACACTGAAAAGCTTGAAACAAATATTTCATCCACCATACCTAAAACACAAAAAGCCATATTCGTGCCCACATTGACAAAAACGAAAGTATTATTTCCTTAAGGGCTGGCGCGTCGTCTAAGCATTTAACAAGTATTCTTCTTTAAAAAAAAAAGAAGAAAAGTAAGAAAGACAGGAATGAACAAAACCACTGACATAAAGCCTCACAATTCTTGTGTAAAAACTAAAAACACACACAAACTCTCAACATTTGTTCAACTCTTGAAACATTCCCAACCTTTATACTCATGTTTATTCTCCTCATAACAATCACTCCCAAAAAATCAGCCAAAAGGAACCTGATATAGGTGATTTAAAATAAAATAGCTTTAATTAAATTAAGTATTTAGTTAATTAATTTAATTAATGAATTTACTTTTTCTTGTTTTATTAGTTATTTAATCATTACAAAATTTTTTCGGGTGTATGAGAGCGAGGGTTTTGCGAGAAAGTGGGTAGGGCTTGTGGTGCTCGGTTTCTTGTGCGAAAAAGACGGAATGGAGAGTTGAAAACGGAGAATTTGTAAGTGTGTGAAGAAGGTGAACCCTTCTTGTTCATCTCTTGCTTGTTCTTCTTCTCCGACAAAGACAATTGTACGTGATTGCCGGTTGGAAGCCAAGTTTGTGCCGTATGAGCTTGTTCCTTTGCAATACTATGCTATATGCTTAAATGCATGTATATTTCTCCTATTTAGATTAGGAAGATTACAAAGATTGGAAGCTTGCTTTGCTGCTCTCGATTTATGGGTTATGTCACAGTGTCACCTAGTTCACCCAATTTGGCTTGTCTATTTTGTTCTTGTTGTTCTTGTTTTAAGCAACAGGAGTTATTTGAGGCTATTAACGTATGTTTTTTGCAGCTATTTCAATTCTTGAGGCTATAGGTGAAAATTTGTTATCAAATTTTAGTGGTTGGGTTATTTACTGTTATAAGCATTCTTTAATTTTGTTTCAACTCATTGTAGGCTGTTGTTCGTCGTTATTTAAAAAGCTAGAAGCAAATTTCTGTATATACAAGTCTTCTATCATATTTTCTCCATTTGAATAAAGGATGATGAACGAGATTGCCTCGTGGATGTAGAGTTTGTAAGAACTCGAGCCACGCAAATTCTTTGTTTTCTTATTATTTCATTTTCTTTACAGGTGCTATTTGAAATTGTTTCTTTCATCTCTATGGAAATCAATAAATATTAGTTTATTGTGTCTTAGGGATTAAATTTTGTAAAAGCTCGATTTTCAAATAAGTCTTTAAAACTATGATCAAGCTAAAAGCTGAGAAAGGTTGGGTGGTTGGATTTATTTCTTCCATGCACAACCAAATCTCCACTATACACAGTTCAATTCATTACAATCAAACATAAATATCAATGGGCACCATATGCCAATTTAGTTAGCATACGTATTGCACATCATAGTTGCTGATAAACAACCCCAATTTGTTTAGATGGCTTACTTCAAATCCAACATACGTCATTGAGCAGGCTATGCACATATAAAAGACTATATCATCTTCATAGAGAACCCCTCCTCTTCAATAGTAAAATGATAAGAAGTAAATCACCTCCTAGCCTTTTATAAAGAACATAGAATAGCCTGAAAAGTTCATTTACTAAATTCCATTTAATTACTATTAAAAACTCAACCTTTTTAATGTTCAGCTAAAGTTACAATGTCGCATTTAATGCATCTCTATAATTTCTCGCATATTATCCTCAAAGTTCCTACATTGCAGTAGCATTCGTTTATCATTCAAAAACTAGATCTAGTTCTGCTAAATACGAAGCATCAAGTATGGTAGAAACAAACAAAAGCATAAGGTGCTCTAAATTTGCACAAAAACTCTACAAAAGTAGATGAACAAATGCAAAAGCAAGAATATACTGTAAATACTCAAAGAGAATCCAGATAATAGAGAAGGAACAGCTGAATGATAATTGCATATTCAGATCTGACTACCAAGGGTAAATGAGAACGAATACATTTTGCAATTGACGAGACCTAGGGCGGGATAGCAAATGTGCTAGCGTCCATAGTGACCATGTCGACGACGGTACATGCTACGGGAAACAAGGGCGAGTACAGTAGCATCTTCTTCTTGGGCTCGCCAAGCACCTAGGAGTTACAGTATGCGAGCAGAAATTCGACCGGCATCAGTGCAAGAGGCCGCAGCCAGCCAATCGGCGCTCCCTCTAGAGGTAGAGTGACGCTGAAATAGAGAAGGCTCCGTAGCAACGATTGGAGCGAACACTCGCGCAGAATTGCAAGCCCGACTGCTTTATATCTATAGAGTTAGGGTTTCGTCGCGTAGAAGATCAATTATTACGTCCGGTGTTGGAATGTTTTAGAGGTCAATCACGGGCCACATCATCTAAAATTCTTATATTTTAGACTCGGTATATATTCGGATCGTTCAATTTTTGATCGGATATAATAATTTCTCCGCGTAGAGGGAAGACTGAAAAGGATGGAAATAGCCAAATACTACTCTCAGCTAGGGGTGCAAGTGAGCCGAGTTGGCTCACAAGTCGAACTTATCCAGCTCACGAAGTTGAGCTCGCTGAAGCTCAGCTCATGAGCCTACTCGAAATTATTAAATTTGAATAATTTAAATAATAATAATAATAATGTCCGCCTATATTTTGAATTCTCGCTGAGTTCTGAAGTCTGGCTGCAATTTAAAATCTCGACGTGTGTTTCAAGAACTCATAAATCATATGCATATCTCAATGGTCTGCCTAGGGGTGTCAATTTCGGGTCACGGGTCGGGTTCGGGTCGGACCCGGAACTGACCCGGGTTCAAACGGGTTGACCCTAACCCGACCCGGTTAGGCAAACGGGTCGAAAATCCTAACCTGACCCGACCCGGCGGGTTGTCGGGTTGACCCGACACGGAACGGATTGCGGCC